GGGAAATGAAGAACTTACAGAAAGGCCCTTGGCATCACCCCTGAGGACATTCTGCACATAGAGCTGTTTCAGTTCCCGCTCCAATCGACTTGGGAGACCTGGATACATGGTGCTACCACCACTAAGTACAATATACTTGTAGAACTCAGATCTCGTATCAATTGGAGCCGACTGAATAGTGTTGAAGAGCATTTCGGCAATACCAACACTCTCTTTATCAATTAAATGAGGCTGGAATAGGGCTTCTGGAGCTCCGAACTGCTCACCGCCAACTTTGATTACTCTTCCGTCAGGCAACTGCCATTTGAAATAAGTAAATAACAATAAATGAAATCTATAAGCACTTAATGTTCCAGGGGGTTCGACTTACAGTGTACTTCTTAACTAAAACAGTAGTTTCTAGAGCAAGATTTTGCTCCTGTTGAACATCATAAGCGACATAGCAAAGTTTCTCTTTCATTTGTCGTATCGTCTCGAAATCGGCAGTTTGATTAAAGGCATAGCCACGAAGCAATAGCAACTACAAGTGAAAATAAGATGGTTATAACAAATACGAAGTCATTTTAAGATTTTAGAGAGAGATAACTAAGTTACTTTTATTAAATATCGGGTGATATCTCTGCCAGCGACATCCAAACGCTTGGTTAAATTGGTTAGGGTGTGACCAGAGTAAACTGGGCAAATATGTGTAACCCCATCACCAGAATCAACTACAACACCAGTCATTAGGCCTGCAAAGATGAATTATAAAATTAAAATATGTGGATGACACAAATAAAGGTGAAGTATTTTTACTTACCTTGAGCATAAAGGGTAAGTGTAGCCTGAATGGCCACATAGACCGCGTTAAATCCATAATCTTCAAACATAAGTTTCATCATCTTCAGTCGATTTGACTTCGGATTATAAGGGGGCTCAGTGAGAAGAATTTTAGCGTGTCTTGTGTCAATGTTCAACTTCGTAGGGCCGAACGTATAATCATAAAGCTGTTTCATATCATCCCAATTCTTTACAATTCCATTCTCCATGGGATAAGACAGCTCCAACACTGACCGGAGCTCACTAGCCTCGTCACCGATCATGAGATCTTTCACCTCAACATTCCCAATTTTGTTGGAAGCTCGAAGAATTGGACGTCCGAGAACAGAAGGAAATATATGTTCAGGAAAATTAGACCCGGCAAATCCACATTTAACAAACTGAGAAATTGAATTTTAATTTAAAAATTACCCCCGTTCCATTATCACAAACGATAACATGGTCATTATCCTTATCAACTGCCATAATCACCAGATAGATAAAGCTTCCGTTTTTGCTTTAACAATGCCACCTATAGCTGACAGAAGACAACCTAACTAATTGGTAAATTTAAACCTATGTATGCTACAATTTGATTTTCTATAATAAATGCTCTAAAAGTCATTATCAAAGGTCAGATATTTAAAAGTATTTTATTAAGTGATACTTTGAAATTGTAAATTTGTTCAAGTTCTTAGCTTTGTAGTAACTTGTCAACTAAAAAGAAATAGGCATTTGAAAATAGGGAAGTCTATTGGACCACATCATTCGCCTTCTTTCTAAATATAGTTCAGTATATTTTCATATTTTAGATTCCATCTGAGGATAGAAATAAAGGAACAGATTTTGTCGGATAAATCGGTTTTTGTTCTTGATTTCTATTCGATTGCAACAATTTTCAGAGCTGAATATTTTCTCAAATATCATATCATTACTTTTAGCATAATTTTCCTTTAGAAGTAATAAAATTATTTTTCATCCTTCTGTCGGCACTGGGAAAATTTTTACATGTGCTCTCATTTGAGTTTAGATTTCGAGGATGTAAAAATACAATAATTTATTTTCAGTTTTAATATTGTAATGCCTTCATCAAAACATTTATATTTTGACAATAAAGTTTTGATTAGCTGCAAAATTTACTATTATATATATATGAGATAGCGTGTCTTAAAGAATAAGGATTCCTCTTTTCGAAAAAAACACCAAGCGTGTTCATTCGAATGAGGATATTAATCCCTCACAACACTCACTCGCCACAAGACACATGGACAATTTTAATTTATTGATTTTTCATGAAAAATGTCTTTTATAGCAAACTGGGATAAATTTTCGACAAATCTGATATTTAAGAAGTTTGATAAATTGAGTTTCTTACATGTTTTTAAAATAGATTAACTTTTTAAAGTTCAATCAAAATTTTAACACACTACATGCTTACTAAATGACACACTTCCTTTGATAAAATTGGTCTTCAGGTGTCATTTTTTCACACTGTGGTAGTACTGTCACCTGACGATTTTTTGCATGTTTGCAGTTCTTATGGCAACATGAGCTAATGAGAGGGACTGTCAAATCGTACGGATTTTTAACACTACGGTCTCATAATTTATTAAAGTAAAAAGGTTCTAACATCCCAGGTCGGGTTTTCGAGAATTTAGATTCACCTGACTTAACATGCGTTCGATTTCACTACCAACAGTAAAAATAAACTGAGGTATAGAATTCGTATAAGCATCAATTCCTTGAAATTAATTATGCACTTTTATACATGATTTATATAAAATTCACGCATATCAGATACGAAGAGTTAATTTATTGGGAAAATTCAATTTTCGAACTATTTACTAAGATTAACACAAAACATAAATTATCCCATTGCAAAGATGCCAATTATTAAACAAACCAAATCAAATATCACATTTAAAAAGAGGAAAATAATTGAAACGAATGAATATAAAGATCAACTTTAAGGCTAGCAAGGAATTTTAAATACTATTTGTTTAAATAAATTAATTGACTGAATTGGTGTAAAGAGTCACAATTTTGATTTGGGTTCATCATGGATTTAGGTAAGATTTAAGTCCCTTTATTATCATATTATCCATATTTTAAGCAATAAAAAGCATTTAATCGTAGTGATATTATACAAATAGCCTTATTTATATTTGAAAAGTAAATCAAATTTGAAATAGTCTTTTTACAAAATATAGTTGAGAGACAATCTTACATTACTTTGGCAACAAACGATGAATATGCCATTGGTGCCTTAGTTCTTGGACAGTCGCTTAGACTTTCTAAAACGGATAAAGAGTTAACAATCCTCATTACGGATGGAGTTCCGCATAATTTTAGGTAAATTACCTAATAAAAGTTTTGTCATGAGCTAAAATTTACCTTCAACTCTAACTAAAAACTTTTTAGAGTTCTTCTAAGGGACGTCTTTGACAACATAGTTCTGGTTAAATCACTTCATTCCAGAGAGGAAGGAAACCTGAATTTACTTAGACGTCCGGATTTGGGCATAACATACACCAAGCTTTATTGTTGGAAGTTGATCGAATTTTCCAAATGTGTATTTCTTGACGCGGATACAATTGTGAGTTATCTTTAGGGTTATTTGGTTAATTGAAATAAACTTTTAAACAGAATTCATGGGAAAATTGAATCTTCTGCATTGATGAATTATGTATAATATGCGTTTTACTTTGATTTCTATTATTGTGGATTTATTTCATATACCTTCAATTATTGGAATGCCTCGACAGAATAATTTCAATTAAGATTTGACTGAGAAATTGACTTTAAAGAATTCAAATTAAGCTTCCATATTTATTGGGTTTTAAATTTTTTGCTCCATGTCACTTATGTTACAAAATAAAATGATATTTGTACTTTATATTTATGTAAAAAGAAAATTTCACTGAGTAGATAAAAGTGAATTTGTAACCTCCACAAAGCTTCGTTTATTTAAATTGTTTATGAGTACGTGCTAAAACAACCAGCCAAATGGTGTGGACTGATTACAAACCAATTTCCTGTTTACTAAATACATCTGAACAGCGCTGAATTTCCTTGCCTATGGATCATGTCACAGCAAACACTGTGTTCCCGATGATGGTTCGAGTATCACCAACTTTAAGTTGAATTACAGCGTGATTTATATTTGAATAAAAGGAAGCTAAGTAAGTTCAATGATTTGTTTATTTGATTTATAAATGCTTTAAAATTATGTGCGAATCAATGACAGTCATACTATAATAATAAAGAAATCACTTCAATGCTTACATTTTTAGATCAAATTAGATCAAATTTTTGAAATGAAAAACGGCTTGTGGAGTGTATAACATTTTTTGAGAGGATAGATAGTTGAACACGGCAGACGAATGAACTTTCCGAAATGGTTCATATTCTTTAACCTGAGTTGAGTAATAAATAGAAAAATTGTGAACTTTATTTCTTAAATCTTCAATCATTAAATTAAGATACTAATATCTAATACCTCCTTATAAACACAAACTGAAAAAAGAAGTATTATTGCAATGTTGTGCGAATAAGTTATTGTGAACTCACCAATAGCTAAATAATTGTTCAGTACTGAAGACAAATATTAAGATGACTTTTCATGTTTTCACCTATTTTTCTATATTCTAATGCCTTTCAACTTTTTTGATAGACTCTTTTAAATATTTTCTATTTCCTTCGTCGATTAAAAGTGCTTTTCTTTCAAAATGCGTCGATCTTCTTTTCGTGGCTATTTCCTCTACTGCTGATATCGTAGAGATGGTGAAACCTATTCGATAGTGTTTGTTTCTTCTTAACAGGGAGATGGATGAAACGTTTCATGGAATTCTTCCTTTAGCATTGAAAATAGTGTTTTTTTAAAAATTCTTTTCTTCGAAGTGGCAATATAGTCCAGACCAGCCGCCCGGGTAAATTTTGATTGGAAGGAAAGTGGTGGGATGGAACTTTCTCAAAAGTGCTGCTCTAGAATGCTTTCTCGCTGTTTACATCTGAAATCACGAAAATATTATTTAACAGACCAATGGGAACTTATATAAAAGAATTTTAGCCTTTGCTTAAATTACTTAAATATAGGAAAATATCTATGTTTCGAATTTTTCGAATTTAATTTTAAATGAATGACAAAGATTAAAAGTGCCATATAAAATTTAATAAATCTTAGTGCTTAGTGGTTGTGTGATATCAATTTTGTTTCCTGCATTTACATTAGAAATTAAAGGAGTACAGACCATTTGTTTATACTTGATTTTATAAAATTCCATATTCATAACATTTCATTTACTATTGAAAAAAACATGATAAAGCTAAATAACTTAAATTATTTCTCCAATTTCAGGTTCTTCAAAACATTGACGAGCTCTTTCAACGTGAGGAAGTAAGCGCAGCTCCGGATGCTAGTTGGCCAGACGTCTTCAACTCAGGTGTCTTTGTCTACCGCCCAAGTCTTGAAACATTCGACAAATTGTCTCTTCTAGCCAAAACCAGGGGTAGTTTCGATGGAGGTGATCAGGTAGGTTAATTTCCATTGGTAATATCATTACTTTACAAATAATAATTATAATTCGCATTCCATATTAACAATAAGAGTTGGACAAGAACATGCACAAATGATCTTGAGTGCGAACTTCGTGGATTGAGACACCTAAGTGACTTAGATTAGGTCATAATTTTAACTTGAAGTTTGCATAATGAATATTTGACTGGTAGAATTGTTTCATCAAGATTGAGTCCATCTTAATTTCCAGGCATGTTTTTAAGTCATTTTAGGAGAACACCTTTTACAGTCCTATCCACTGCGAGACTAGAACAACTACCATTTTTTGTGCTTTATTCAAGGTGGCTTTACATTAGTATTTAAAGATAATGCAATAAGATTCAAGTCCGATTGTGCATATCTTGTGGTGGAATTGTGTTATAATGCTCCATTTGGCTTGAAATATTGAAATGTGCTTAGACTGCACTTACTGTTTAAGAAGTGTTTAACCCAATCCATTTTTTTGCATCCCGACCAAGTTAAGATGTATGCCATGATGTGCGAACGAAACGTAATCACTTTACTCGCAACTTTTGATTTTCCTTATCCAATCATGCGAATGCACAAGTTGTTAAAAGAAGAATAGAGGAATCGCTATGGTCTCTTGTAATTCGCAGAACGAAGTCGTAACGTTTCAGTGAAATGAGTAAATATTTTATTAGAAAGCTCTATGAATCAATATTGTTGGTTAGATTTATGCTCTGAATTTTCAGCAGTGTGGTGTAGATATTCATTGTTATTGGTGTTGGCAAAACCAGTTATCTCTTGTAGTCAAAGTACTTTTCTTCACATGTCTGAGATTTGTAAACAAACAAAATTGATTTAATACAAATAGCTGACATTAAAAGGTATTAATTATTACCGAATAACTTTAAACAAATTAACTTTCCCTTAACCACATAGGTTGATAACATGAAATTTTCGAGGCAGTTTCTCATTAATACACTTTCAAGATCCGCAAGGTTTTATTAAGTCATTTTTTTCTTGATGAATTTAAATATATGCTGTTATCAAATATAAATCAGAACTTCAAAACATTTTACAGAATAATCGAGCTTTTATAACTTTGGTAAGTTTGATCTTCTGTAATGTTTGTTGAATTTCGTTGCTCTTCCGTTTTTCGCTATTCTATTGTTCATGAAAAGATTACTTTTGTTCATATTTTCAGTTCAGTCTTCAATTTTAAGTATTTATTTTACATTAAAAGTGGAACGCAAAGACTCTTTTCAGACACACAGGGAGATTAATTAATTCATATATTCAAGTGTATTTATTTATAATCACATTTGTTGTTAAATTTGGTATTTTATGAATTGCATCTATATTTTGAAGTGATAATGCAATTTATAACTTTCTTTAGGGATTAAATCCTTAAATTCAACACAATTATTCCCTTTTGAAGTGATATTGTTTGTCCATGCACTATTTCCTTATTACGTGTTTCCAACTGATGTAATTAATTTCGGTGATCTATTTTAGAACTTAAAATATTGAAACAAGTGTTAAACATCATGAGTCAATGCTGGTCATGACGCATTTCCTAGCTCTTTCTCATAAGATTTTTGCTAAGTTCATCAAACCTTTGACACTTGCCAATAAGAACTTTCTAATTTAGATGCCACCTCAAGCCGGCTATTCCATCTACAACTTCAACAAGGATTTGTTGTTCGGTTCACCTCTTAAAAGCTTGAAATTAAAATCGTTTTTTGGGGAGGGAGGGGCGGGGGGGGAGGGATTTTACAAAGTTTGTGTGATCGATCGGGCGACTGTCCAGCTGATTTAGTGCTTTTGAAGAGAAATTGGCAGTAAGTGCAGTCGATGGTAGTACATTTAGTCACAGACGCTTCGACATTCCTTAAAACGGGTGATGCATATGGAAGATCCTTGAACAAGCAGCAGATTAATTGGGCAGCATCGTTCCAACGCATAAACATTCATTGTCATGCAAAATGCCTTTAGAAGAATAGAGTAATTAATGAATTCGGATGTTTTGAGCGGGTGGTTTAATTTAAACGACGCTTCCAGTTGCTATTCTGCATTTAAAAGTGCGAGTTTAATTTTTGTTTGAGATGTTGATTTTTACGGGTATCCATTACTTTCTTAAAAGGAGGATTTTATTATGAAATAACTCGTATTAGGCTACTCAACGCCATAAATTTTTAAAGTAGATTGATTAGAGGCGTTGGGCATCTCGGAAAATATTTTTTCCGCTAAAAAATTTCATTTAACTATAATTTTGAGTTGTGGCCTAGTCTGAAACACATAGTTTCAATTGAAATCTAATCTGTTTTTTAATTCTAAAATTGAGTTAAAGTAATTTGAATGAATTCGATGCTTAAACAAACAGATGTGGTTTGTTGGTCGGCAAAAATAGCAGATGATTTGTATTTCTTTTGTCATTTAGTTCCATCCTGTTACAAGTCCTCAGAACCATTTGAGGTGTCATTGTTGTCGCAGATTGATGCATCGTTGGTGTCTGTGGATTTGCGTTCCATGGATCAGTGAGTAGCTATTTAACTATCATACCATAGATCCCATGCACCCAATGCTTTGAATAGACAGCCGCACCGCTTAATTCAGGTGAATTAGATGGGGCTCTAGAATCCACACGTTAGGTATTCCGAATGCCCACCAAAACAATCTGGAATTGGGGTGGGGGGGGGGGGGGGGGGGGGGGGGGGGNGGGTGGGGGAGGGGTGGATCATAAAAAATAATTTTTCTTTGCTATGGTAAAAAATGCACAGCATCTCGATTCCATTAATGGGTCAGGGTAAGAATGATATTTCCTGTTCATAGCTGGTGCGTTGTTCAGTAGGCACGAAGAATGAATTCTAAATAATAAGCGGTGAGAAGTGAAGTCACAAAACCGGATTCATTCATTCTGTTTCCCTAAAGGGTAAAGAATAAAAATACATAGTAGAGACTGGAAAGAAGTGGAAACGAGAAATAGGGTCTATAGAGCACATTGGAACTTGTCAGTATCGAACTGTCCTTTGTGTGTGTGCGCGTGTGTGTAAGTGTAAGTTTGGAGTCAAAATCCTCGATAGACCTCTCAGGTTAATGGGGTCACAATGGTCGATTTGTATTCCGCAGGAATCGGATCCACAATTCCTGGAAAACGGAGAAGGTAATCCGCGATGCAGTCAAAGCCTAACCTGCCCACTATTACATATTCTACGTCATATTACGGATTATTTACCTCAGAATGAATGGATAAGTACTTGGGGTGCGGCTCGAGTTTACCTTACTTGTTAGGGGCGTGTCGCTGCCACATGGATTCGTGGACCACGTGTTTGATTTTTCATCCCGAAAAGTTGAACCTCCATATTTCTCAGGGCAATTTTTTAGGGTTTCCTCTAGCGTTCAGTCATTTTATATGGACAGTGAGTCGTTGCCACTTTACCAGTGAAATGTCAAGTAAATAGAAGTTTTTTTAATATACTTGAATTTTTATTCCATTAGACCAAGGTGAAATCGCGAATTGAATTAATTCTTATAATAGACTAATTAATTAAAAAGAGGGAATTATGTATCAAGATAGTAATTTCTTTTGAAATTATATGAATATTTTTTAATTTAAACATAAACAAACTCATGAAAGTATTGAAATTATTTGAAATCCAAAAAATACATTTTTGTACCTATTTGCAATTTCATTCAGTTTTAGCCATTGATTGTGAGTCGAGTAGTTTACAAAACGTCTCAAAATAAAACGACTCCACTGAAATTTTATAATTATGTATCTGAATTTGGGAATAAATCTAAAACAGGATCTTTTGTGCAAGAGGCGATGATTGCGATTGAAAGTAATAAAGAGTACGCTTGATCTAACTTGTGGGGTTTACTCCTGATATATTCTTCTCACAATGGGGTGAACATTCCGACAATTTGCCATTTTGGTTAATTTATCAAATTTGGTAGTCAAGTAGTTGGGGTGTGGCAAGTTTATATTTCTTAAGGAGGGGGGGGGGGGGGGGGGGGTGTGTCACTTCGAATTTCGACCGCATGCATTTGCCACAACGTGGAGGAATTCCTGCTATTTGTTATACTAACACCAAATTCCCTTTTGACTTCGCCTGGCTGACGTTATTCTTTTTTTAATTCCTCCTCCTACTGAAGTTTTTTCAACATTAGGCGTACTTTTATTGGCAAAAATGTTTACTTAAGCGGTGAACGTTCATTCAACTGCTGATTCAAGTGATAGAAGAACGTGATTTTGTTACATTCATTGTTAAACGACGAAGATCAGGCTCCATGAATTTTGAAATGCCTTGGACAGGTTTTAATTTTAATAAATTTACGTTTATCTCTCTTTTAATTAATTACCACACCACTGAGCAATTATGCCCACTTTGTCCAAAGTTGTAAATAAAAGCCACAAAAAAGAGATATAATTCCTAAGATATTAAACTTTATCACGACAAAATATATTCTTGCCAACTTGGTTTTCCTTCAGAAATGTGTGTGTGTGTGTGT